AACCGGTCTGTATGTGGGATCCGAACCCTCGGGCGGGAGCGCCGCCACGCTTCCCAAGCGTCGCACTATCCAGTGCGCCACCGGGCCGGCCCCTCTTACTGGTCATCTTTAAAAAAAAATAAAAATGTTTACAAAGAAGGAAAAAAAAATTTAAAAAACCCAAATCAAACCAAAACAAAAAGAAATAAAAGATTTGCAAAGAACTAAGGAAGCCAATGTTGGGGGAGGTCACCTGGGGACTCACTTCTGGGGCATCTCTTGTCCTTGATCTGACTGTGGGATAGTGAACATCCCAGCGTGCTTGCTGCCAGTTTCCCCAGCCCCAAGGATGGAGCCATTGCTTTGATGACTCTGCCTCCACCTACCTGTGGCCACCCCTGCCATCCCGGCTCTTTTGGCCCCAAGAATCTTTGATTCGATGCCTCCAGGTCCCCTTCGATCAGATGGAGCCATTGCTTTGATGACTCTGCCTCCACCTACCTGTGGCCACCCCTGCCATCCCGGTTCTTTTGGCCCCAAGAATCTTTGATTCGATGCCTCCAGGTCCCCTTCGATCATCTTGTCCAGGGCAGGCCCCAGTCCCTCTGAGTGACTGTGCTCCTCCTGCATCCCCATCTCTGTCCAGGGACTGACCACAGCCCATGAGCAGTTCAAAGCCACCCTCCCCGATGCCGACAAGGAGCGCCTGGCCATCCTGGGCATCCACAACGAGGTGTCCAAGATTGTCCAGACCTATCATGTCAACATGGCAGGCACCAACCCCTACACGACCATCACACCTCAGGAGATCAATGGCAAATGGGACCACGTGAGTCAAAGGGCTGGGCTGATGGCTGGGTTGTAAGTTTCACTGATTGATTTTCATCGATTTTACTTTTTTAATTGTCATGTGTAGTAAGCACTAATTATTTGTCTGGATAATGAATGACTGACTTTCTGGAGCAGGTCGACATCTTCACCCCTGTTCTGTTACTAACCAGTGCCTTCCCCTCATGGGTCCTCCATGTCCTCACCTGGCTAATGGGGCAGATGGCTGGCCCATCCCCAAAGTCCCATGGTTGTTCCCGCCCCAGGTGAGGCAACTGGTGCCACGCAGGGACCAGGCTTTGACCGAGGAGCATGCCCGCCAGCAGCACAATGAGAGGCTGCGCAAGCAGTTTGGGGCTCAGGCCAACGTCATCGGGCCCTGGATCCAGACCAAGATGGAGGTGGGTGTTCACGGGGAGCAGAGCAGGGGCCTTCCCACCCTTCCCAGCACTGCCCCACCAGCCAGGTTGCTGTCTGCTCCCGGGTCTGAGCCCATGCTAGGCCTGCTGTCCTATAGGGGGGTGTAGAGGCCTGTGCAGGGAAGGCCTCATGGCTTGGTCCCAGTGGGTGATCTGGGAGCAAAGACCAACACAGGACACTGTTAAGAAGCCACATGAAAGTCCCACAGGAGGATCAGCTCCTGGATGCCAACTCAGCTTAACCCCTTTGGCTTTCTTGTTGACCAGGCTTCCCTTCCTCCATTACTCCCCCTCCTGAGCAATGGGCTTAGTCAGGTGGATGCTATTCCCAGAAAGAGAACTGACCCCAGTTGAGCATAGAATTTTTTGCTGAGTTGTGTGAGCTGGATAGTGGGGTGCTATCAAAGACCTGGGGAGGGCCATTCCTTGGCCAGAGCATGGCCTTGGAGCTGCTTGAGGGCAGAGACCATGTCAAGTTCACTCTTGTGTCCCACTCCCCCTCCACCTGCTCGCCCAGCATGTTGCACTTAGCAGATGCTCGGGAAGTATTTGCTGGGTTGAGTGGACAGAAGAGCTTTCACAAACAAGGTTTGTTTACATGGATGACTGAGACAGAGAAGGGCAGTAGGCCTGGCCTGTGGGGATGGGTGGGATTCAGCTGGGCCGGGGCAGGCATCCTAGGAGGCAGGTCAGCAGGAGCATGGCCCGTGAGGAGGTAAGCCAGGTGTGCCGAGGCTGCAGGCATCCTGGCTCAGTGGGCACGGGGCAGGTCTGAGGTGGACCATGGTTGGGAACAAGGCTTGGGAAGGGGACTTGAATGGCAATCAAAGGAGTGAACATTTGGGTTAGCAGTTGACTCTGCATTGCCTTCCTGAGGCTGACAGGTACCTGAGAGACAGAAGGCATTTTTCCTAGTGATGATACCTGCTGTGTACCTTTATGATGCTGTTTCCATACCAAGGAGCATCCACACTGAATGTGTCTTAGTAATTACCAGTGACAGCCTTCCTAGGGCTGGGATGGGAGCTGAGAATCATCCAAGGGGTTACCCAATGACCTTGGGAGCCCCAGTCCCCAACCCATGGGCTCAGAGTGGGGTGGTCTGACAAAGTGCACCCTTCTGGATGAGCAGGAGATCGGGAGGATCTCCATTGAAATGCACGGGACCTTGGAGGACCAGCTCAGCCACCTGCGGCAATACGAGAAGAGCATCGTCAACTACAAGCCAAAGATCGACCAGCTGGAGGGCGACCACCAGCTCATCCAGGAGGCGCTCATCTTCGACAACAAGCACACCAACTATACCATGGAGGTGGGCGGGGCTGGCCTCGCTTCCTGTGTCTCCTCCTGTTCTCCCTCTGGCTGGGTGGGGGTTCGGGGCGTGGGTGGTTGCCCGTCTTCCAAGGAAACTGGTTATAGCTGGAAGATAAATTCTCACTTCTCTTCATGCCTGAAGCTCTGTGTCTTCAGTAACTTCTGAATTTCCCAAGGAACTTGTTGAGAATGCACATTCCTAGGCCGCACCTGCAGAATTTGATTCAGTAGTTCTGGGGTGGAGCTCAGAAATCTCAGTTTTTAACAAGCACCCCCAGATGCTGATGGGTTGCAAACACTGGCTTAGGCCCGTTTTCTAAATGACTACTTGTTTTGAGTGGGAAAGTGTGTATGTGTGTGTGCGTGTGTGGGGTTGAAGGTTCAGGGAATCACCCAGCTCTTTGTCCTTTAATCTTTCCTACTGCCAAATCTGCCCTCCCTCCTGACCTGACTCCCATTGGCAAGTCCTGGTCTCCTTGCTGTCCCAGGCAGAGGCCACCGCCCTGCCCCCTTTATCATCCAGGGTCCTCTGTCCTGGTGGGTTGTCCTTACCCTGGTTCTTCTCCCTCTGGTGACACTGTGAACCCAGACAGAAGGCCAAGATTGACTGCATTGGCCATTTTGGTGGTTGGGGGAGGAGTGGGTTGGGGTGGCCTAGAGGCCATGCCTAGGGCTGCTTTGCTGACAGTCCCTTTGCCCGTCACCCCCAGCACATCCGCGTGGGCTGGGAGCAGCTGCTCACCACCATTGCCAGGACCATCAACGAGGTGGAGAACCAGATCCTGACCCGGGATGCCAAAGGCATCAGCCAGGAGCAGATGAATGAGTTCCGGGCCTCCTTTAACCACTTTGACCGGGTGAGGGCCCCACCCCTGCGCTTGCCTAGAGCAGCCCCACCCCTGCCCCAGGCCTTGGAGGGCACTGCCCAGGGTGTGGGCTGCCACGTGGGACACTTCTTGGGCAAGTGAGGAGAAGGGAGAGGGAGTCCCCTGACTCAGTATGACCCACAGGCCGGCCTTGGGAAGCCTGTCCCAGTGTCCCAGGAGCTTTCCTGCTTTCCTGGAGAGAGAGCTCATATTGTGGGTGGAGGGATGACCTGTGGCCCCTGACACTTGCTGTCTTACCATGAAGAATCAACCCTAAAGTGGAGGCCACTGACCCCTGGCTATAGGAACTGGCCCTCACCCCTGCCTCAGGGACAGAGTAGAGGAGGGGGTGCCCTCAACCCCATCCAGGTGGCCTTGGGGACGCTGCTGGGGACACCAGAATCTCCAGGCCTGGGTTCTCATCCCAGCTCCAGGACAGCCTGTGTTTTAAGTGGGCCGCCCCTTCCTGGGGCCCTGGGGCTTGGGGGCGGCCACAGGGGTGGGAGCATGCTGCCCACCGCCCCTGCCTGCTTCACTGCCCTCCAGGCACCTGGGTGGGAGAAGACCTTAATGCCTGGGTGGGCTGGGGCACTTCTGGGGGAGCTTCTCACCCTCATGGCTCTTCGTGCTCCCCTCTGGCCCTGCTTCCTGGAGCAGGGCCATGTGTGCTGGGGAGAGGACACCCTCTGGAACCTCGTCTGTGTGTCTAACCGTGTGCACTTTTATTTCCCCTCCTCCCTGTCCCCTCCACTCCCACCCTGCCCACCGCATGCCTTTGTCCCCATGTCTCCCCACACACGCCACCCTCCACCGGGGCATGCCCCCCCCACGGCCTCCACCTCCCTGGCACCGCATGGCTGGCTGCCTGGCGCACCACGGCCCCAGGACCACTCCGGCACACTGGGCCCTGAGGAGTTCAAAGCCTGCCTCATCAGCTTGGGCTATGATATTGGCAACGACCCCCAGGTACTCGCCTCCTGCATGGAGCACAGCCAGGGGTGGCATCCGGGACGAGGAATAACGCGTTTTTCCTTTTTCTCTTCTCTCTGTCTGGATCTCCCTGACCCCTTTCGTGTGGGCCGCGGGGCTCGTCCTCTCCTGCCGTCCCCACCTGCCCTGTGTCGTGCTCCTCCCGTCTCTCCACCCCTGCCCTTTGCGTCTTCCTCTGTGGGAACCTGCCCGGTGCCCGCCTTCCCTTCTCCTCGCCGCTCTTCGTCCTGCACGTGGATTCTGCATCTCCCTGCCCTGGCTTCCTCCGTTCTGTGCCCACTTCCCCGGATGCATTTGCATCCGCTCTTGCTGTGCTCTCCTCCCCTTCTCGACCCCTAAACCATGCACCTCATCCTCCTCTGTGGCCGTCTGTGCCCCCTGCCCTTTGCGTCTTCCTCTGTGGGAACCTGCCCGGTGCCCGCCTTCCCTTCTCCTCGCCGCTCTTCGTCCTGCACGTGGATTCTGCATCTCCCTGCCCTGGCTTCCTCCGTTCTGTGCCCACTTCCCCGGATGCATTTGCATCCGCTCTTGCTGTGCTCTCCTCCCCTTCTCGACCCCCAAACCATGCACCTCATCCTCCTCTGTGGCCGTCTGTGCCCTCTGGGCCCTGAGGAGTTCAAAGCCTGCCTCATCAGCTTGGGCTATGATATTGGCAACGACCCCCAGGTACTCGCCTCCTGCATGGAGCACAGCCAGGGGTGGCATCCGGGGCGAGGAATAACGCGTTTTTCCTTTTTCTCTTCTCTCTGTCTGGATCTCCCTGACCCCTTTCGTGTGGGCCGTGGGGCTCGTCCTCTCCTGCCGTCCCCACCTGCCCTGTGTCGTGCTCCTCCCGTCTCTCCACCCCAGGGAGAGGGAGTCCCCTGACTCAGTATGACCCACAGGCCGGCCTTGGGAAGCCTGTCCCAGTGTCCCAGGAGCTTTCCTGCTTTCCTGGAGAGAGAGCTCATATTGTGGGTGGAGGGATGACCTGTGGCCCCTGACACTTGCTGTCTTACCATGAAGAATCAACCCTAAAGTGGAGGCCACTGACCCCTGGCTATAGGAACTGGCCCTCACCCCTGCCTCAGGGACAGAGTAGAGGAGGGGGTGCCCTCAAACCCATCCAGGTGGCCTTGGGGACGCTGCTGGGGACACCAGAATCTCCAGGCCTGGGTTCTCATCCCAGCTCCAGGACAGCCTGTGTTTTAAGTGGGCCGCTGCTTCCTGGGGCCCTGGGGCTTGGGGGCGGCCACAGGGGTGGGAGCATGCTGCCCACCGCCCCTGCCTGCTTCACTGCCCTCCAGGCACCTGGGTGGGAGAAGACCTTAATGCCTGGGTGGGCTGGGGCACTTCTGGGGGAGCTTCTCACCCTCATGGCTCTTCGTGCTCCCCTCTGGCCCTGCTTCCTGGAGCAGGGCCATGTGTGCTGGGGAGAGGACACCCTCTGGAACCTCGTCTGTGTGTCTAACCGTGTGCACTTTTATTTCCCCTCCTCCCTGTCCCCTCCACTCCCACCCTGCCCACCGCATGCCTTTGTCCCCATGTCTCCCCACACACGCCACCCTCCACCGGGGCATGCCCCCCCCACGGCCTCCACCTCCCTGGCACCGCATGGCTGGCTGCCTGGCGCACCACGGCCCCAGGACCACTCCGGCACACTGGGCCCTGAGGAGTTCAAAGCCTGCCTCATCAGCTTGGGCTATGATATTGGCAACGACCCCCAGGTACTCGCCTCCTGCATGGAGCACAGCCAGGGGTGGCATCCGGGACGAGGAATAACGCGTTTTTCCTTTTTCTCTTCTCTCTGTCTGGATCTCCCTGACCCCTTTCGTGTGGGCCGTGGGGCTCGTCCTCTCCTGCCGTCCCCACCTGCCCTGTGTCGTGCTCCTCCCGTCTCTCCACCCCTGCCCTTTGCGTCTTCCTCTGTGGGAACCTGCCCGGTGCCCGCCTTCCCTTCTCCTCGCCGCTCTTCGTCCTGCACGTGGATTCTGCATCTCCCTGCCCTGGCTTCCTCCGTTCTGTGCCCACTTCCCCGGATGCATTTGCATCCGCTCTTGCTGTGCTCTCCTCCCCTTCTCGACCCCCAAACCATGCACCTCATCCTCCTCTGTGGCCGTCTGTGCCCTGTCTTCTGGCCCTGGGCCGCTCCTCCTCCTCCCACCTTTGTGCCCTCCTTGTGTCTCGTGCCACTGCCCCCACAGAAGAAGACAGGCATGATGGACACGGATGATTTCCGCGCCTGCCTTATCTCCATGGGTTACAACATGGTAACGTAAACCCCCTCTGCCGGGCCTCGGCCCTGCCTGGTGAGGAGGCGGCCAGCCGGCTGCAGGCCCGCAGGCTAGGGGCTGCCTTCTCCAGAGCAGCCTCGAGTCTCTGGTCCTTGGGGAAGATGGCACCCTGGAAGCCGGGCCCAGCCATGGGGCCTGTGTGTGTCCAGGAGGCCTGGCCACCTTGGTCTCTGTGCCGGTTTATCTCCTGGTACTTGCTGTGGAAACGGGCCGTTTCACTCCTACGTGGATGGCCAGGCTTACCCCGAGGCTGGAAGGACCAGTGGTTTGGGAAATTCCGGGTTTGGGGTTGGCTTCCCTTCATCTCCCATGAGGTGTGGAAATTTAGATTTCTACCTCCACCCTGATGCCAGCTCCAGTCAGGTCTGCTGCAGCTCTGCCATTACCCCAGGCCCTCCCTAACTTTCTCAGAGCAGGGCAGGCGGCTTAGCTTCTCAGACCAGCAGTCAGATGACTACTGGGCCATGGTGCAAAGCACAGGGACAAGGGCAGGGGCTAGAACAGCGAACTTAGCAGTGATCCCTGCTCTGCCATCACCAGCTCGTGGCCTCAGATGAAGTGAGGGAGCCCTGCAGAACTGCTGTAGGGGATAAATGAAGGAACTTACGTAAGTGCTGTGCACGTGTCTGGCACATAGAAAATACAGTGTGGTGGGGACAGAACAGATTCTGGAGCCAGACTGCCCAAGTTCAAATGCCAGCTCCACTCCTTCCTGGCTGTGTGACGTTCGGCAAGTTGCTTAGCCTGTCTGGGACTCAGATTTCACATCTGTATAATGGAAGTAATACACTTACTTCATATAGTTGTGGTAAGGATTAAATGAATTAAAACATATAAAGCACTCAGGGTAGTGCGTGGCATATGGTACATGCTATGTATGTGTTGGCCATTGTTGTCATTATAATTATTATCAGCATTATTTGTTCAAAGAACCCAGGCATTTGTAGGTGTGGTGAAAGACCCAGTTGAGCTAGGTCTCCACTGTAGTGTTGTGTCCCCGTCACACCCTCAGGACAACCAAGGTTAGGTCAGGGGGCTCCTGAGCCTGCCTCTTCCAATAACAGGTTACTCTGAGCCCCCAGAGGCTTCAGGTCCTTATGAGGTATTCCCAGCAGGCCATGCTGACAGGCCTGGGCATGGCTGTTCCCTCCAGGGAGAGGCAGAATTTGCCCGCATCATGAGCATCGTGGACCCCAATCGCCTGGGGGTAGTGACGTTCCAGGCCTTCATTGACTTCATGTCCCGAGAGACAGCTGACACAGATACGGCAGACCAGGTCATGGCTTCCTTCAAGATCTTGGCTGGGGACAAGGTGAGTCTGCTATGCATGGGCACCGTGCTGGGGCAGCAGGCATTGGCTGGACTCTTATCTAGAGGGGAGAAGGCTGGGACATGAGCACCTTCTTCCAACTGCCCCTTCTTCCGGGGTCCCATCAGACCTCTCATTGTGGCCCACCTCTACCCAATTCTACAGCACCCGGGCTCAGCCAAGGTGTTAGCTTATGGGGATGCCCTGCCAGGGACATTGCAGGCAGTGATGTTTGTGATGAAATGACAAGGGGTGGAGAGCAGTAGAGTGGATGAGGGTGACTGAGCAGACGATGGAAAGTCCGTCTGAGAACCTCTGGGACTTCACCCTTACGTCATCTTAGGCACAAGCATGGAAAGCAGGTGGAGGCAGAAGGGAAGCATGTCTCTCATTTTTCTATCCTGAACAGTGGTCCACTTTGGGTTTCCAAATCTCCCAAGTACCCTGCAGCGCCCCACCAGGCAGCAGAGAAGTGGGAGGGATGCAGTGTGGCTGCCTGCGTGGATATCAGAGGCCCAGTGCAGTTGTTGGCCATATGAGACGACCATTGGTGGACTCACATGTCACTCAGACCTACAACCATCTTAGCCCAGGGACCTAAAGGGATCTGTAGGAGCAACAGATCCTTCTAATATTATAGAAAAGACTCAAAGAGCATCCAGAGGAAATTGGGGGGCGGGATGCCTGTGGGCTGGGTTTCCTTCTGTAAAATTCATCCTTCCTTCAGAACGGAAAAGATTCAGTTACAAAAAGTGAGAGCCAACAGGGAGTACAATTTCTGAAATGTCTCAGTCCTTGAGAGTACTTCAAGAAGTTTGTGGAAAAATAGAATTAAAAGATAATACGAATCTTTCCATGAGCATTTTGAAGTACCCACACATAAGGGAATAAAAGCTGAACCTACAAAGTGGTCACTGAAGGTCTGATTTAAGTTTAAGGACACCCTCATTACAGTCATAGCACCTTTTGTGGAAAAATAGAATTAAAAGATAATACGAATCTTTCCATGAGCATTTTGAAGTACCCACATATAAGGGAATAAAAGCTGAACCTACAAAGTGGTCACTGAAGGTCTGATTTAAGTTTAAGGACACCCTCATTACAGTCATAGCACCTTTCAGCTGCAAGGATCCTCAGAAACCATCTCGTTGAAGTGTGACTAGTTTTTAGAAAAGGAAAACTGAGGGCCAGAAAGGGACCTGGTCTCCTGACTTTGGGAGTGACCTGAGGGCAGCCCCACTCGCCCTCAAACTGGTTCCTAGGACACCCTGGCAGAGGTAGGGCATGGGGCTGGGTGTGGATCAGAGCCCCTGAGAGCTCCCTTGGACCCTAAAGCTCCTGAAAGAAGCAGCTTCCAAGTAGACCTATCACAGGTGAGTCTGGCGGGGGCGGGGTATCAGGAAGGCAGAGGCCCCTGCTGGGAGCTGGCTGTGGTGGGGCAGGTCCACATTTTTGCAACAGTTCTGGTTAAGATAACCCAGCCAGATTTTGGATGCCATCTGTAGCAGTGATGCCCAAACCTGGACGCTCATCTTAACCTGCTGAGGGCTCATTAAAACCAGCCTCTCTGGCCGAGGCCTTCAGAGAACCCAATTGAGTGGGTGTGGGGGCTCCCAGGAATCTGTTAAGTTCCACCAGAATGCTGCTTATAGTGTTCCAGCATGAGGTTACTGCAGACTAAAATGGTACATGGGATTACAGGTGTCATTAGCACATCGAATTAGTGTGGAAAAAGGCTAAAGCAAGTGCTGAAGTGAAAACATGAGGTAATTTAAAAAATACGTATTGTATGTATATGTGCATAACAGACATCTGGAAATACTGGCAGGGGGTGAGCATGGGGGACGGTACAGTGTACCTGGCATCACGAGGAGGTTTACGGCCGCTGCCTTTTACGGCCGTGTCGCCCCGCTTTATGGCCGCGTCGCCCCGCTTTATGGCCGCCGGGCTTTGCGGCCGCCCTGACCCCGCTCTCCCCGCAGAACTACATCACCGTGGACGAGCTACGCCGGGAGCTGCCGCCCGACCAGGCCGAGTACTGCATCGCGCGAATGGCTCCTTATACCGGCCCCGACGCCGTGCCCGGTGCTCTGGACTACATGTCCTTCTCCACGGCGCTGTACGGCGAGAGTGACCTCTAACCCGCCCGCCGGCCCTGCCGCCCTCCCCCCCCC